TTATATTCGTGTGTATATATATATATATATATATATATATTAATTATATATTTTATATTGAATAATTACATTAAAAATTTGAATTTTTTCCCTTATTTTTTTACAAACTACGTTAGCCTTAAAAAAATTTAATTTCTTTTTTTTACAAAAAAATAATGAAATAGTGCCACTATGACCATAGAGACTCTTTTAAATATATATATATAAGAAAATATAATCTATAATATTTTTTAAAACAATTAATTATTTTAGGTGCTATAGTCTATAACGATTCATATAAAAAAGAAATAAGTCGTTGTGTGTCGCTTTAACCTATAGCAAATTTAATTGGGTTGCTATCAACTTTATGGACTTTTGTTATATTATTCTCATTGCTTCTTAAAAAAAATATTTGATACGTGATACTAGAGTCGCTATGCCTCATAACGATTTTATAATAAACAATCTTAAAAGTGTAAGTAATTTTAAAATAACCTAATTTATATAATTAATTTAAAAAATAACTCCACAATGATCAATCAACCGATTTAATTTCATGCAAAAGTTAAGGACAAAATAAACTCAATTTACACCCTTCTTTTTAGTGATATGAAGGTGTGATCTACAATTGAGACATGGGTTATAATCTTTAGTGGTACAAGGAAGTTGGCTCGTATACCAAGTGGTTTTTATTATGAATTACTACAACAATTGTTGAATACAATAGAGCACGGCAGAAGAGGTAGGTTCTGGTATTTATAGGTGAGGTTGGTTCAGTTTGAAGTTTATAGAAAATACTAACTACAGGTGGATTGGTGATTATTAGAAATGCAAGTCACAGGATGCTTACGGCTACACGCCTACACCCAAGATCCATCTTGCTAAGATTGTGCATCTCCAATTCATTTTTTCTCTCTTTCCACATTTTCATTTTCTGCTAATTGTGTGACAATTTTGTGAAATCATAGAAACGCTTCATTCTTCACAATCCTTAGCTAGGATTGCATCAGAAGAGAAAAAGACTAGTGTTGATCGAGAGGAGTGATGTCATTGGAAACGTGAGAGAGAAATATTGGGAGTAACTACTATTCTCAATTTTAAAAAAGAAAAAGAAAAACTTTTTCCACACATTAAAAAAATTAACTATTTGTATTAAATTTTATTAATTTTATAATGGTCTTCCTAAATAATCGGTGTTAAAAAGGTCAAAAGTAGTACAACTAAAATGAAAAATATTTTAGGAAGAATATCATTAAATGAGTCAAAAATAGTTAAAATTTAGTTATATTTAAGAAGAAGAAAAAATGTGTTCTTTGTTGCTTATAATTCAGAACAGAGAGTAATACTCCTACCATTTCTCACATTAGTTAACCTTATAGCAAACATCCATGCATGGTTCGGCCATGCCATCAATGTCATCGACCAGTTTTCATGTGCTTGGCATCCAGCTACACGATAGGGAATGGGACAGAAACCAACTGCCACGATTAAACAAAATATTTTCCTAAAGTAAAAGAATATTTCACCAAACTGCATTGGACTTCTCATTATTATTGAACTACAATAAGGACACTTAAATGTATAACGACACAAGCAAAACAATCAGATATGAGTGTATATTTACATATATCAGTAGTCCCTACAACATTATAGTTTAGGACTACATGTAATATGGAAATATTAATAAAGACTTTTTTATCATTTCACATTGTCTTGCAATCTTTCAACATCAATGCCAACTTTTATGGGTACAACAAAATAAAGGGGGAGGGAGGCTAATGGCTATCCAACTGTCTATTCATTTATGTCATGTTTTGAATTCAGAGACATGATACTACTAATACATTATTTACTATTTAATGAAATACTAGCATCGTTCTAAAATTCAGCTTGATGATAAATATAGTGAAGGGTCGTAACCAGTGCTCAGTTAAGGATATACAGTGAGTCAGTAGTGTACTCTGCTGAGTGCTGAGCATAGCAAAATAAATATTTCAATCACTTGAACCGTCTTCATTTTCTGGAAATACAAACCGAAGGTCCTCATTGTCTCTATAAACTTGCACCAGAACAGCAGCCTTGTAGACAAACATCCCAAACATGGCTGGCACAATCTAGGGTGAACAAGAGGCAAATATAAATGAATTTGACAAAAGTTTAATAGTAAAAAGGCTTAGGGGCACAAGTATTTTTTTTTATATACATGCTACCAAGGATTACCTGAAAATCAAAAAATTCATTGCTAAAATACTTATGAAACAGAACCCAGATTCCATATATTGCTGCTGGAATAACAAGCCTGGGAGATGAAAGTGATATGCTGCTACCCTTGATTAACCTCTCTAAGAAATCTTCAAGGTCCTCACTTCTTATACCAATTCTGGTTAAGAAATATTGTTAGACCAAAACAAGGGATAAGAGAATGTCAACAACAAAAAATGATAACTTGCATAATTAGATCAAATTCAAAGCGCGAGTTTTCATTTGTACTTCTTGGACTTTTTTTTCTTGAATATTTGAGGAACATTTTCACTGGATAGGTTATCTGCGTGTTGATACAAGAGCTGAAGGTACAAGCAACTGCATCGAAAATGATACGAGTTAAGTATGATAAATAGCGATGATAAAAACAGCTACATCTTTTCTTTCCTGTCACCGACAGAGAAACAATGATGAACAAATTGGTTTGTAACAAATATCAGCTAGAAGGCTCTTGCGGTCTAACTAGTGGCGGCCCTTAATCTCATTAACAATTACTTCAATAGGACAGTACCAACATAATAAAAGGCAAATACAAACCTGAAAAGGACTCCAATTGCATAACTTATAGCAGCCTGCACATTTCAGAAACAGGCACACAACAGTTAACACAACCACCCCAACTACCAGAAAAAATCATGCTCTTCCCCCAAAAGTCGAATAAGTAAATAAAGGTTTAATTATTTTTTTTATCCTTGTAATTTAATAAATTTTACCTTTTAGTCCTTATAGTAAAAAATGTTTCATTTTTGTTTTCTTTTGGTCTCTATTGTTTATTATTATAGGGACCAAAAGATAAAGTTTATAAAATAAAAAAAAAAGTATGTATAGAGACTAAAATGAAATGTTTTTAATTATAGAGACTAAAAGGTACTGTTCATGAAGTTATAGGGATCAAAAGGTTAATTAAACTATAAAGAAATAAAATTAAGAAAACAACATGCTCCACACAGTTGTTTTAAGAATGAAGGAAATAATTTGAAACTTATACCATGGGGTAGTGTTTGGAGTTAAATCATTATGGTAAAACATTTGCATCCATCTAAAGTTAAACTAATGTAAAGAAAGAGAACTTAAGTGAGTGGTAAGAAACACAAAATTGATCTGGTTCTGAATTACAATATCAAGTTAACGAGACTTATATATATATAGACCATGCAAATGTGAAGTTTACCTGTACTGACAAAATTGCCAAGCAATATCCACTACAAGCCAATCCAATACCCACAGATAGAAGCAATATTTCCCTCTTGAGCTACAATTAATAATAAAAATGACGGAATAAGCAGCTTACACAATATCTGGACAATTATAATTGATCAAAACCTTCATGCCTTGAGGTAAGAGAACACTAATGTCACTGACTTGAGCTAACAAAGGACAATACTGAGTTCAAGAGAGGTGTTATACAGATTCATATTTGAGCATGTTCAGTTTCTTGCGTCTTGCGCTGCTGTCTTGTAACACCTGTTGATATATGAAGTGAAACATCCAACATTATTGGATGACTGAGTTATTATATATTTACCACAGAGAAGATGAATTTGAAAAACATTTGACAATGTATTCAATTTTGTAACATATCAATTTCCCAGATCCTGTCAGGGCATTATAACATAGACAAGAAAATGAAAGTTGGGATGCAAAATGAAATCAACTCTAAAGCATACCTTATCAGTAACCTTCTTGTTTATTGGTGGAGAATTGTCACCTGATATCCACTCCTGGGTTTTTGTGAGTTTCAAAAAACCACCATCACTGCCGGTCTCTATGATCTACAAATATTAGAAGAATCACATGAAATTGAATTGCCTGACCAATTAATCAATATACAAAATTTGCAATGGATCAGTATTAAGGCAAAAAAAAAAACTGCCAAAACTGACACATTTGATAGAATTTTTTAAATTGGATGAGAATGGTTTGGAATCAGATATGAATCTGCTGCACCTGCTCTGATTGTTGATAAGTGTTGTCGGTGAGCTTGCTAATATCATAATGACCAGAATTTCTGAAATTTCTTCTCCATAATAAATCAGAAGTTCTTGATATAAAATCGCCATTTAATTCTCTCTCCTTAAAAAACATTTGCAAGACATCCTCATCCGCATCACTCACTAAAAAATGAGTTTCAACCAATTAGCTTTCAGCAGAAACAACGACTACAAGTGACAACTGACAACAAAAAAGATACTGTCACAAGGATTAAGTATTACTTATGTTGGAACTAAAAGGATAGAAATGATGGTGGCAGAACCTATACTTCAATAAATGTAGAAGCTACAAGCATGAGGTATTAATCGATGAATAATTAGGCTACAACTGATGAATAGTTTTTAAACATCACATGTCCCCTCATGCAAGAGCCCTTATCTGGAGACTCTAAAACCAAAGTCAATAACCAGTTCTCCCAAAAGATTAAGCTTTTTTATATCTACAATACATTGATGGAAGATTGATAAGAATGTCAAGCCAGACCAGCTTTTAATCAAGAATAACCAGGTGAAAAATTGCAACTCTATTATAAATCTACAATATAACAAAGCATACTTTAACAGAATCACAATCAAAAGAAGAAATAAAAGAAAACTAAAATGAATAACGAAAACAAACATGAGAAAGGAAGCCATTAAATTCCTTGAGAGATAACATAAACCTATTTTTGACAACAATTGTTTTGATGCACCTTCAAATTTAATATGGACCTGTTTAGGTAAACTTCTCTAGAAAAACTTCTAGGAGAGAAAAATAAGAAGGAAACATGAAATAAACTTTTCCATAAATAGTTTGGATATCAACAAACTACTCATCCAAGAAAACTAACCCTTCAAATTCCTCTTCTTCCTAATGGTCCAACCCATTCTCTTGCTTTCCAAACTCCAAAAAGTATACATGTACTTAAAAGAATGATGATTTTTGTCAACCTTCTATTCAGTTAACATGTTAAATTGTTAATTTTTATCGGAAAAAACTCAAGTTCTACATCGTCTAGAAGTAAGACAATTAAAAAGTATATAAGTGAAATGTAGCCTTCACCTTACAAGCCAGTTCAGTATGGTTGAATTAGATCCATAACCCACATTCTAAAATGGTATTATTAGAGTTGTTTAAATTCACTCTAAAAGGGTCACTTACCATTAATACACACATCAAGCCCAATAGTGTTGGGCGCGAGGAGGTATATTAGAAAAAAACTCAAGTCTTGCTTATCTTATATTATTAAAAAGAGTCACCTACCATTTATTTACATATGAAGCTAAATAGTACTGGATGTGAGGGGTGTATTACTAAAAAATCAAATCTCACATCGATTAGTTTGGCTCTTAACCCACGTTCTTAAAAGATGAGTGTATCAGAGATCTCACACTGACTAAGAATATAGCCATAATAGCGTATATAAGTGGGAAACAATCTCTTACCTTAATCCTCACAACAGTTGACACATCACCCGCAAATGTTTAGTCTTGCAAAACTTCACACTCAAGATGTTTAGTCCTTGGGGAACAATCCTCGTCTTATAAACTCATTTTGTAAAATTGAGTTTGGCTCTTATCTCACTTTCCTAAGAATCTTACAAGAAAAAATTGGATATATTTTTTTAATATATTTTAAACTTTTTTCAGACAAAATATTCGGTTGAAACCATAATGCGGAGCTAGCTCGCCAGGATTATTTTTAAAAAAAATCCAATTTCCAAATTGAAAAAAAAAAAATTAGTGTCTTCAATTAACCCCCAGAGAAAGTATAATGTGGGGTCTAAATTAAAAAACTTACTACAAGGTATATCCGATTCTAACCGAAGATGGTGTTCCTCCAGCAGATGGAAATATTATACAGAGTTGAGACAAATGATGTGTGGATATAAGAACTAACAGCCATGACAATTAAGTTAAGCCTGTGCACAGTTTCCAATCTGGAAGCATCTTCAATTGTCAATTACCCATTTCCCCCAAAGCTCTCCAAAAGTGCTAACTTTCTAAGTAAAGGGATAAAAAAAACTATTGAAACTAGTCCAATTTCGACCAAAGAAACAGAGTGGCTAACCTGAAGAAGGACCAGCTCTTACCGAAAGCAAGGGAGTGGTGGTGGAAAAAGCATTTGGGAAACGAGATAATGCAGAGATTTTTGGGAACTGAAAGCTGTAATTAGTGGGGAGGAATCTAATCCTTGAAAGGGTATCCATGGCATAGGCGAAATGGATATGGAACCCCTACAATATGAGCTACCTTACCCGCACCACCTTTGGGGAAAAAATTGTGTACCAAAATTAAATCATTATTATGTTGGTTTTGGGGTTTCAAATTTTATCTATATATGACTTTTGGTCATATTTTTAGTCTTTTAATAGTAGTAATTAAAGATTCAATATTAATGATTAGTTTTTGGGTCACCATGTATCGACTACCGAGTATCACCGGCTTTATATATGACGAATTTAAGTGATATATGTGAGATAAAATTTGACGATTTTCGATTACGACAATTGGTTTGTTAATTTATACTTTACATGATTTTTTTTCTTTACATATTATATGTTATTATATAAGAGTACTTTCTTATTTTAAAATGTTAATTTTTCATAAGGTGAATCATGATAATGTACTTATTTAAATAATTAGGTTATAATTAACAATATTATTTTTATGCTTTGATTAATATCTATTTGTATATATTGATATACCCTTTTGGGGTGTTTAATTTAACATTTTAGAACAATACTTTTTTAAAACTTTTTGAGAGAATTTAAAAAAAAAACTCAATAAAAAAAAAAAAAGATGTTCTCGTACGTGTGCATTGTTTAGTATTTTTTTATTTTATTTTAAAGGCTTAATTACGATTTTAATTCTTATAATTTAAATTTTGTGCTATTATAGTTTTTTTTATACTTTTTTTATCCAATTAAGTTTTTTATTTTAAAAATTAAGCAAATTTAATCATGTCATTATCTTTCTTCTACTTTTTATTTTAGTTATGTTAGTTCTTTACAAATTAAACTACTTAAATTGTTTTAAAACTTTTTCAAATTTCTATTAGACTTAAATTAATAGGAGTTGGAGTAATACATCTGAGGTCTTCAATTTGAAGTCTAGTGTGAACATTGTACACACAAAAGAAAAATCTATCTTAAAAACATATTATTATCAACCAAAACATAAAATCTCACCTAAATTAAAGAGAGAGAAACTCAATTTCCCCTCTCTTTAATTAAACCCTACTCTCATGACTCACATCCTATCAAATATGATTTTTGGGTAAAATCCTGACAAATATGATGATGTGATGGAGATAGAACTCAAATGCTTCACGATAAGAGCTTCTCATGTATTGTCCAAACTTGGATTTTAATTCATCGGTTATAAGTTTTCATTTTACCTCAATTATTTCTTATTATTAACCTCTTTCTAAAAAAATCACTAATTTCCCTTTTGTTTGAACTCAATTTGAAACCCCCACCCGCTTAAGACGATGTTGTAAATTGTATTTTTTATTTTTAATGTTAAGTGTAAATTTTCTTTCCATGTCTTAGCCGATATTTTTAAGAAATTCCTAAATTTAAAACAAATGGGCTTTCAACTTTCAAGTTGAATTTTTTATGCGTATATATAATGACAATAACGACCTTCGATTCTCATTTTGTAGAACATCCAATTTTAGATCTCTCTGCAATATTTCTCAGGTCATGATAGCGCTTAAAACTTAACAAGCAATATTTTTGTACTAGTTATGCTGCTGGTCATGCTGATTCTGGCCAATATCTAGTGCGTGCTTGGTGTACGTTCAATACGTGCATTGATATAGAAAATCACGTCAAAACTCGCATAATATGCAAAAGCAATTCCTTTTAGCTTCACATGAGATCAGATGATAAACCGAACACTGCTAAATATGTCAAGGTTTATTAACTTATGAGGCGTGTGAAAAATGTGGTTAGCATGGTCCTCTATTCCATTCCACACCGAAGCTCAAAAGGCTGATGAATCATCGAAAACTTATGAGAGAATGAAAAATCTCGTGGCGCTTTGGTCTGGTTTTCTTAATGAAGATATGACAAAATGTATTCATTGTCTAGTAGTCGTTTACCATTGTCATTGAAGACCGCATTATTTTGAATGATACTTGTAGTTGATAAGTAAATTTGTCTAGAACCATATTTAAATCAGTAACCATTGATACAACAATCTCAACACAGTAATGACAGAAAATGGCATATACTAATATCTAATCTTTGGATGAAATTCAGTTTTTGATCTATCAAACTATCACCTTTTATTTATTCCAATTAATTGTCTGGGCAGCGCAAATGGTGGTTACATTTACTTTAGCCATTGTGCTCAAATGGAACTAAAGATGTGGTTTGACTGCAATACTGGAATTGCATCAGATGCAACATGCGTCACTAGAACCAAAATTAAGCTAGTTAAATAGAAAGTGATTAGGTCATAAAAAAATTATAAGCAATTACGACAAATTTAGGCTCGTTTATGTCCCAGGGCGTTGATTTACTCTGGGTGAAATCCTGTCTTTGCCCTAGTCATCTGGTGGATGCTAATGTATTTACTATTTAGAAAATGATTTTCTCATATTGCAAATAATGCATCTCATGGAGGTTTCACCTAAAATTCCTCTGTATGTGTTATTAAAGGAGCTCACGGCTTTCACCCAAAAAGTGTTGAAAAGAAAGCATCAAAATGAGATGCTAATCCATCTCTCCCTCTTTAACTAAACTAAAAGCAAATTAAACTAGTTACAACTTACAATAACGTTAGTTTATATTGACTAATAATTTAGCATAATCAGTTCTAAACCACTTTCAGAGTTACCAAATTATCCCTATGTAACTGAATCTAAAACGTAACAGTTTAAACTAGTTTTGAAAGTTGCCAAACACCCCATTAAACAAAACTCAAGCATCCAAATGCACAATACTGGATTAAATATGATTAGAAGCTCAGAATAAATTTGGCTGCCAGAGAATCAAAACCATCTATAAAGAAAGTAATCTATGAAGTCTTTATAGGCAATTTCTATTTGAATTTCGTTATCTGGTAAACTTATACAAGGCTACAACAGACCTAAATACAAGTTCAACAGACAGTGAAAGAGTAGATGATATGATCACCTCCGCATTGGTGGTGCACCTCTCCCAGGTGCAGCTCCACGGCCAGCAGATTGAGCCTATGCAAGCAAAAATTGGTGTTACGCCACAAATGTTACATTGGCAAGTCCTTCAAATATCAGGACATTGAACAGACAATTTTTCAAGGTTAGATATATTAAAACTAAAAAAGAAATGGGTAATTACCTTTGCCCGCATGGCAACTGCCCGGCCCCTACCAACTCCAAGTGATGCACCCTTGCCCTTCAAGAGATTCAGAAAGCATAAAATACAGAAGCACACATAACACTAATATGGAGTACCAAATCACTTGAAAATAAAAAGGTACCTTGACTCTCGCATCCAAACGCTTAAACATAGGAGCATTCTTCAACATGTCTGGTATGACCATAAACCTGCCAAATTCTATATTACATCAAAGCACTCTGCTAACAGAAAATGTAATCTACAATTATCAAATCGTAAATCGGCAAACTAATTTTTGAATCAAGAATCATAATTTGTATCACTTCAAATATATAGTGTAATAATTCTATACTAGAAATGGATAAAAACAGCTTAACCATACGCCTTGTAAAACAACTATTAGTTAGAAGAATGGAAATGGATCAATGAAATAGCCAAATAAAATATTTTCTCTTAAAATGTGAATTTGGACCCAACTCAACCCTATAAAATTGGCTTACAAAGTAAGCATTGTCCCCTAGTTATATACCATTTATTTGACTTATCTCTAGTCGATATGAACTTGAGTTTTTCCTAATACTTGTTACATTGAATGAGTGAATGACAAATACAATAGTAATCAAATAGGAAAAGTTCATAAGTGCTCCTTTAATTATATGGCTTTTCAATTTCTTTCACCAGAATTGGTAAAAAAAAGGTAAGAAGAAAAAATAATAAATCGTTTGTGATTCATATTAGTGATGTGAAATTGCACCAATTCATTCCTGTATTGTAAGACTTGGTCATTTGAGAATCATCTTATGATGCAAATAGATAGGTAGCCAAATCATATCAAATTGTGGAATTCAAATCGTGAATAGTAAGATTCTAATGACTATATTCTACAACCTTATTTGGAATATAAAATTATGAAGTTGCTGAGTAACATATGATTCATACCTGACTTTGCTGCCTCGAATAAATACATGCTCAAGCTGCGATGTTTTTCCATCCTACAGAGGATTTAGCAAATATCAGCAACAAAATGAATTACACTGTGCATTTTAGCAAATATGTTTGAAAATGGCGATATTAAGGCTGTTTAGTTTGAAAATTTCCTGTTTCCATTACCATTGAAAAAAAAAAAAGGAAAGAAAATGGAAAAGAAAACACAAGCAGATCATGGTTTTCAATTTTCATTGCATATTTTAGGAAACAAAACTCTTGCTTTTGTAAATGTTGAAAACAATAAGAGTCATTTACAATGTTTTCATTTTTAAGTTTTAACTATTGACATCTTTTGAAATTCTAATGACACTTTTCCTCTCTCAGCACTTTCTCTGCAGTGCTGGTGTCACTCCTCTTTTTACCAACAAAATCCACGTACAATGGAATCAACCCCCTCTTCTTTACTCTTTGTTACCCACTCGTGCACATGCTCTCTTGTTTCATGTTTGTTATTGTGATTTTTGATAAATATAACCACCAAAGTTTTAAATTGCATTCACGGCCACAGTTCCGTTGTAATCTTTAATCTTGCATGAAATTACGGACAAATGCAACTGACGCAGCCACAATTCCAGTCCAGAAACTGATGCAGAGACTCCTAAACCTTGCCATTGCTTCCAAAATCACAAGTTCGAACAGATTTTTAAAACCATAATTATAATTTATAACATCTATTTCTAGGAAGTGGGAAATCTAGAACAGTTTCACTGCAATCCTTGATCTTAGAAATTACAAAGAAATGCGGCTAATGCGGTCATTCTGCCATGGCTTTGCATTGCAGCGTTTTCTAAAATGGCAATTGCAAGTTTAAAACCGGAATTGTAAACCCTAAAGCCCAATTATAACGTAGAAAGCGAGTACAGGAAGATGAAATACCTTGGCAGTGTAGGTGATGCTCTCGAGTTGACAGTTCCAGTTGTCCTCGCACTCAATCATGCTTCCTCTGTAGAGTTCGCCGCTTTTGAGCTCCACCGTCACCACGTGACCCGAAGCCTCGTGGAGGAGCTTCACCGGTATTCCCAAGCTCCTACTCATTCTCTCCTCTCCAAAACCCTACTCTCACTTCTTCGTTTCTCCGATCCAACAAAACAACTTCAAATGCAAATGCATTCTCTTCCTTTTTTTTTCCTCAATGTATATATTATTATAAATTTGATAATTAAGGAGTAATTTAAATTAATGAAATTTAATATAAAATAATTTTCAAATTTTTTAAAAATTTATAAACTTTATCTGTACATTAAAATTTTTAAATTTAACAGTTGAATATTTTAAAATTTAACATAAAATATAAATTATTAAACAAAATAAATCAAATTTAAGATTTAAGATATAATATACTTATTCTTAATGTTAACCAATCTTTCCTCTTTTATATATATATATATATAAAGAGAGAAAAAGAAAAAAGAAAAAAAATATCATGTAAAAATGAATTTTTAAGCAAATTTTAATAAATTAAATAAATGTTTTAATTAATAAAATTATAAATAAAAAATAAAATAAAAAACTGTCACATACTATCACTACATATTATTATCATTACAACCATTAACATTAAGACAATTAAATCACAATAATTATTATCATAATCTTTATTATTACTATTATTGTAAAATTATTAGGGTGGTAATAATATTAATGTCGATAATGATGATAATGATATGTAATAATTTTTGTTTATATATATTGTTATTATTTAGTTGATTATTTTATTATGATTAGTGTTAATTGAGTATTCACATTTTTATCTAAGAAAAATTATTCTCATATGTACATCTTCTATATCAGATAAAATAACATGAAAAAAAATATAATCAAATCTTATTAATTGTCCGTGTAAAAAAAGTTATTAATATAAACAATCATTTGCTTAACTTAAAACTAGATTTTGATCTTTGCATTAAAAGACGGGATAAAAATGTTTTACACCGGTACCAAGATGATGCATGTAAGTTTACTAATATAAATATTATAACAAAAATATAATAACTTTTATTGGATTGATAATGCGTATATATTAATCTTTAACTATTAATATGACGTATCATTTTATTAGTCTCAACCTATAATGTGTACTGATAATTTAATTTTTCATTAGTTTAGATAATTAAATACTAAAGTTTTTTTCTTTGACACCAATACTAAGGCTTTGTTTGGATTTGAAGATGGAAAAGAGGGAGTGGAAAAGGAGAGATTTGAAGGGAAAGTGAGTGGAAAGTGAGGTTGTTTGGATTAAGGGAAAGTGAGTGGAAAGTGTAGAGAAAGTTTGTGAAAGTTTGTGAGTGAATTGATTGATGTGATAGATAAAAATAAATTTTTTAATTGATAATTGTGTAAGATTACTATTTTGCCCTTAGGTTGAATTTTTATATATATAATTATTATAATTAAAATATAAATATATAAATTTTAACTAAAAAAATAAATATAAAATATTAATTTAAAAATAATTTAATTTAAATATTTGCTTTAAATTTAATGAGATAAAAATTAAAAATTTAATAGATGAATATGTAATTTATACTTTTACTCTTGAATTAAAAATGAGTATAATATTATTTATTGTAAATAATAATAATTACAATAAATTTATATTAATAGGTATAATTTATTAAAAAAAATAATAAATAATGATAAGAATAATAATAAATATTAGAAAAATAATAAGAATTATAATAAATAATAATAATACTAATTATAATAAATAATTTTCTAATATTATTTTATTAATATTTATGAAAGTGTTAATTGTACAAGTTAATTAATGTTTTTTATCTTCTCACTTATATATATATATATATATATATATATGAAAACTCTTATTTATTAACAAATCAATGCGGCCAGAACGACCTGTTTCGATTCCGGAACGGCCGTTCTAGCGTCATTTTTCATGCTAAAAGTTGATACTTAGAACGGCCTGTTCTAAAATTGGAACGACCCGTTCTAAAATTGGAACGGCCCGTTCCCAAATTGGAACGGCCCGTTCTAATTTCGCATATTGCTCATAAAACTGATTTTTGGAACGGCCCGTTCTGCTTTTGCCTGGAAACGAAAACAGCCTACCATAATCGATTATGCAAGCACATAATCGATTATGTGGCTTGCATAATCGATTATGCTCTCCACATAATCGATTATGTGACTTGCATAATCAATTATGCTGAGAGCATAATCGATTATGCAAGCCACATAATCGATTATGGGCTTGCATAATCGATTATGTCCTCAGCATAATCGATTATGCTTCGTTCCTTTGTTGTATGGCACATGCATAGGGCAGGGGTATTATGAAATTTTTTTAAATCTTACGTGGCTTTCATCTTTTTTCTTCGCAAAAATGCGAAGAAGCCCAATGCCCCTTCTCCCTCTTTTCTTCGCCTTTCTTTCCTTGTAAATCAGTAGACATAAACGTGAAATTTCCTCGCCTTTCGTTCATCGTGAACAGTAAATCAGCGGAACCAAACACTACCTAAATTGTTAACACATAAACATTTTTTCTATACTGATATATTATTATTTATAACAATTTTTATAATAATAATTTATTAAAATTAAACTCTTTGACTAATTACAACAAAGTTATATCATTTAAATTATTTAAATTATTATTTAATTTTTTAAAACCGTTAAATCAAATATTAACTGACATAATAAATTTACATAACTAGTTAGAAAATATCATCGAATTCAATTTTATACAGATATTCATATGCGGAATAGAGTGTCCTAATATAAACTTTTAATTAAAAAAAACAATAAATTGTTAAAATTGTGCATTTACTTGAACATCATGAGAATTATTATTGTACCTGTCTGAGGGCACACTCGTAATCTTCTAGTGGGTGAAGGGTTGAACGAGAGCTTCAGGTGGATGCTTCAGAGGGGGGAGGTACCTGCAAAAGGCACTCTGACGCTCAAGTCAAGACAAACACGATTCTCAAGGGTAATAAATGAACAATGACATACCTCGTTTCGTGTGACTTATTTATACTACCTGTCATGGGCCCTGAGTGTGGTGGGCCTTCTCTGACATTTACCAAATTAGGTAATACGATGCTAATCAGCTGGTTATGCCTTAATTGCGTGTTGTTCCTTGTTAATCATGATTATCGTCCTAACTATTCTAACTATGTTAGTCCTTGGCCGAGTCGACAGGGAACGACCGAGACACCCTCTTCGTCCTTGGCCTTTGGCCGAATCGATAGGAAAAGAGTTGGGTTCTCCACGGTCCTCGCCCTCTTGTCGAGGCGAAGTAGTGTCCGAGCTGCGTCAATATCTAATAGAACATGACGTGTCGGTCCACGTGGCCGATAAAACCCTTCCGATACAATTATATTTGATATATAGGTGAGAAGTTGTGATAAAATATATAAAATCGTAGACTTAAATCAATATCATCATTACAATTTTAATAAATAAAAAAATTTAAACCATATGACTTCTAACGAAGGCACCGTTGAGGTGTTGTTGACTTTTTAAGTCTAGCGTATAAATTTGAAAACAAAATAAACTAATTTTATAACACTTTGTTCAGAGTGTATAATTGTAGTCAAATTTCAAGTAGCATCATAAGTGGCATAATAAAGATCAACTTTTGTCTTGGATTCTAAGGGCTGGTGAGCTTGAACATGTCCCCATCATTAGTTTATGAATATTTTTTTATTCTTTTTTTTTTCTTTCATAAATGTTAATAAAAAAATTATTCAAACAAACTCTTAGCATTATATTGCCACAAAAAATTGAGATAAAATTTTAAAATGGATTCTATTATTAGATATGTTATGAGGGTAGTTTTTACCTTTCAAAAACTGAAAATGAAATAACTAAAACTAGATTTATCTTTAAAAAAAAGAACTTAAGACTGAAAATTAATTAGAAAGGGACGTGATTAAATTAATTTAAAATAGTGAATTAGGTAGTTGATTAACCCTAACTACCTTCTCATGGCTGCATGCCATAATGGCTGCGGGCCGCCATAATGGATTAAAGCTCTAACAGCCATGAGTTCGGTGACGTACGGTATGAAATACGATCTGATTTTAATTCTTTAAACTTTATCGTATATTCATTTAAGAAAATAAAAGTATCATTGGTAATTTTTCATGAAAACATTGTAATCAAATTACAATTTCTATTGATAACTATAAGTTTGTTTTTTTTTTTCTACAAAAAGTGGGATGATATCATTTATTAAGCATTCATAAAATATAAAAATATAGTAAAGAAGTTAATATAGTAAAATCTTAGGAACATATTTGTATTTGACATTTTTTTATACTTTTAATCTATAGATAATTAACTGTATTTTACGTTAGGATACTAATTCTACTCCCTCCAGTAGTTGTCGAGCCATAATTTGATCATTTTTATGAGGTGTTTTGCAATTTTTAAAAATATTGATTTTGGTTTTCATTTTGTCTCTATTAAAAATTGTATGAATGTATTTTTTTTTTTTTAATTTTTCACTTTTTAAACTCTCCCAAATTGTAACATATCATTTTTATTGGTATTATTTTTGCTTCTTTTATAAAAATTTAATAACATGTAAACTGTAAAGATGATAAAATTGGTAAATCATAATTTTACTTTATAAATTCAATAAAATTCACTAAATTTGATTATTATTATTTGGTTAAAAATATCTTACAATAAAGATTGAAGGAAGTATGAAATAAACAAAAAAAAGTGTACATTACTTATCTTAAGGAAGAATTATCTGGATTAGAGATGTTAATTATGCTTAGTTTAATACTTTATCTATTAAATGTAGGTGACAAACCTAATTTATCATAACTTTTTAAAATTAATTTATAAAATAAAAATTGTTCTCACTTATATATAATATTACAACAATTTTACTAACTAGTCGATGTTAGATATCTAACAAAAGAGTATTAATGTGTCTTGTAATTGGGAAGATAATTCAAAAGGTATGCATTTTTTTATTTTTCAAAAATAGTCTTGAATAATAAGCTTTCAATTTAATTTTTAAAGTATTACTTTCTCTCTTAATTAGTCCTTAAATTAAGAAGGTTATATAAATAGTGTCTAAAATATTAAAATTTAAATTACATATAATACTGTCTGGTCGATGTTTGAAACTTAATCAA